GACCTTGATGATAAATATTCCTTATCAACACCACAAATAATACATTATGATCTTGTAGTATAGATTCTAGGTACTGACGTTGTTTATCTTCTTAATTACGTTTGATAGTGTTGTTTTCATTTGTCTTTGTATATTTTTAACCTTTACTGTTTAGTCCATTTTTGGTAATTTCCTTTTAGCGTGGCTCGGTATTCATACACCCCGCCATTGTATTATTGTGTTATGGTAATTTTTTTTTATTAATTCTTGTCTTTCATTTTTGCTTATGTAATCTGTCTAAAGAGTTTCTTTATGCCATTTTTTTTTTTCGTTAACATAGTTGTTTGTTTTATAGTGATTAAGATTATAACACAATGTAGACTGCTGTACCCCAATTTTTGACGTTTTTTTCTATTTTGTCTGTTTTGCTCACACATTGTTGTCAGTATAATGAAATTCTATGCGACTGTCATATAAGTGAGAGGTTTAGCTAGATATAAAAACCACCATTTTCTAAATAAGGAAATGCCTGTGCCAAGTCAGGAATATGATAGTTGTTTTTCACAGGCACTTGTCTCAGAAAAAAAAATCCTATAAATATATAGGATTTTTTTTCTGAGACAAGTGCCTGTGTAGTTTTTCATTCGTTTGATGTGTTTGGGCTTTTGATTAACCATTTGATAAAGGACTTTCTGTTTTGAATTTTCCTTGGAGTTCGATATTTTTGTTATTTTACTGTTGACATGAGTTCGGTTCAACGCTTTCATTTACCTTTGACAAAACAAAGCTAAGAAAAAGAATATTTTCTGCCACACGTAATGTATTCAACATGTTTAGGATGATAACAAGTTTGGAGCATTTTGAAAATTTGAAAAATTTTTATCTTTCCATGGTAACCATTTCCAAAGTTCCAAAGATAGATGCCACATTGGCACATGCCATGTTACATATCCATAGAGTTTCATTGAGTTTGATGTAATATTCTATAAGAAAATGCAGATTTAATGTATTTTCCCATAGGGCAATGTTAAACTTTCGCCTTGTTTCCATGACAATGGCGGTCATTTTGGAATTTCTAAATATTGTCTGCACATCTAGACATACCAGGTTACATAACCATAAAGTTTCATCAAGTTAGGTCTTATATTGAAAGATTTAAAATTTTGATTTTTTTTTTTTACATTTTTTTAGTTTCTTTAGAAACCGTGGCCATCTTGCACATTCTAAAGTCAGCCGCACAACTTCACATGGTGGTCAACATTATAGCATAGTTCTATCAAGATTGGTCCATGCAATTCTAAGAAAAAGCTTGGACAAAAAGTGTGGAAAAATAAAAATAAAAACTAGATTTGCCATTGCAAGCAATATCGGATGGCACCCATCCCACATTGCCACTAAACTGCAGCCATTTTGAAAATTTTAAACAGTCATTGCACATAAATACATCATAACACATCAGTCTGTAAATTTTCAGAAAGATTGGAGCATTTTTCAATTTTTTCTCATTTTTACAGTTTCCATGGCAACGGCAGCCATTTTGGAGTTCCAAGTTCAAACGTCTCATCTTCACTTACTAGTCAACAATTATTTTAAGTTTCATTAAGTTTGGAGCATTTTGACATTTTTGGACATTGTTGCTGTTTTCATGGTTACGGTGTCCATTTCAAAAATTCCAACAACACCTGCAACATTGACTTATACCATGTTATATATTCATGAAGTTTCATTGTGTTTGATCTAATATTATTTAAGAAAATGCTGCTTTAATGTGTTTCCCCATAGGGTCAATGTTAAACTTTTCTCCTGTTTCCATGGCAATGGCAGCCATTTTGGAATTTCTAAGTACTGATGGTACCTAAGGGCACCACTGGCAACATTTACATAAAGTTTCAATATGATGGCTCTTATAACAAAAGATTTAGACATTTGATGTTTTTTTACATTTTTGTTGTTTCCATGGTAACGGCGGCCATTTTGAACCATTCCAATGTCTCTTGCGCAACTTCACATAGTGGATCACATTATGATATAGTTCCATCAACATTGGTCCTTCAATTCTGAGAAATAGCTTTGACAAAAACTGTGGAAGAATAAAAAAAATAATAATAATAATAAAAAAGAAAAAAAAAAAACGTAGATTAACAATATGTCACCCCAACTCCGTTGAGTGTGCCATAATAACTACATTTGTAATTGGTAGCAATAACGGATGGCACTCTCGTTCCCCTATTGCCAGGATCACGACAGCCATTTTGAAAATTCCAAAGTCAAAGAGGGCATCTACACATGCAAATAAACATTATTGGAAAGTTTCATTGAGTTTGGAGCATTTTGAAATTTTTTGACATTTTTGCTGTTTCCATGGTAACAGTGGCCATTTTGGAAATTCCAAAGTCAAATGGGACATCTGCATATGCCAGTCAATATTTGTGTGAAGTTTTATTAACTTTGGAGCATATTGATTTTTTTGACGTTTTTGCTGTTTCCATGGTAACGGCGGCCATCTTGAAAATGCCATACCCCGATTGCAAATCTGCACATGCTGGTTAACATTATGATATAGTTTCATAACAATTGGTTTATAAAATTTTGAGATATAAGCTGGACAAAAAAAGTGGAAGAAAAATTAAAAAACAGAAAAAAAGAAACGTAGAATAACAATATGTCACCCCAACTCCGTTGAGGGTGCCATATCTAGATTTGCCATTGCAAGCAAAAGCGGATGGCACCCCTTCCCATTGCCACGGTTACGGCAGCCATTTTGAAAATTCTAGTAAGTCAAACAGCGTACTACACATTGCAATCCACATTTTTGTAAGGTTTCATCAAGTTTGTAGCATTTTGATGTTTTTTTGTTTCCATGGTAACGGTGACCATTTCCAAAATTCCAAAGATAGATGCCAGATTGGAACATGCCATGTTACACATCCATAGAGTTTTTTAGGGTTTGATTTAATATTTTAAGAAAATGCAGCTTTAATGTGTTTTCCCATAGGGTCAATTTTAAACTTTCGTCCTGTTTCCATGACAATGGCGGCCATTTTGGAATTTCTAAATACTATCTGCACATTAAGGCATACCAGGTAACATAACCATAAAGTTTCATCTAGTTATGTCTTATAATGAAAGATTTAGAATTTTTTTTTACATTTTTTAGTTTCCATAGTAACCGTGGCCATCTTGCACATTCCAAAGTCAGGTGCACAACTTCACATGGTGGTCAACATTAAAGCATAGTTTAATCAAGATTGGTCCATGCAATTCTTTGAAAGAGCTTGGACAAAACGCATGGAAGAATAAAAAAAATAAGAACTAGATTTGCCATTGCAAGCAATTTCGGATGGCACCCATCCCACATTGCCACTAAACTGCAGCCACTTTGAAAATTCCAAAATCAAATATCATTTCCTGACATGCCAGGTAACATTCCTGTAAATTTTGAGAAAATTTGGAGTATTTTGAAATTTTTTAATTTTTGGCTATTTCCATGGTAACGAGGAGCATTTCCAAAATTCTAAAGACAGATGAGGCATTGACATATGCCATGGTACATATCCATAAAGTTTCATTAGGGTTCATTGAAAATTCTAAAAGGAAATACAGCTTTTATGTGTTTTCCCATAGGGTCAATGTTAAACGTTTCGCCTGTTTCCATGGCAATGGCAGCCATTTTGGAATTTCTAAGTACTGTTGGTACCTCGAGGCACCACCACCAACATTTGCACAAAGTTTCATTAGGTTGGCTTTTATAACGAAAGAGTTAGAATTTTGATTTTTTTTACATTTTTTTTAGTTTCCATGGTAACCGTGGCCATCTTGCACATTCCAAAGTCAGGTGCACAACTTCATATGGTGGTCAACATTATAGCATAGTTTCATCAAGATTGATCCATTCAATAACGAGAACTGCCGTGGACAAAAAGTGTGGAAGAATAAAAACAAGAAAAAAAGAAACGAACAATAACAATATGTCACTCCAACTCCGTTGAGGGTGGCATAACTAGATTTGTAATTTCTAGCAATAACGGATGGCACCCTCGTCACCCATTGCCAGAGTAATGGCAGCCATTTTGAAAATTCAAACGTCAAACAGTGAATCTAAACAAGCAAATTAACATTTTTGTAAAGTTTCATTAAGTATGCAGCATTTTGAAAATTTTGCTGTTTCCATGGTGACGGCGGCCTTTTTGAAAATTCCAATATCAAATAACAATTCTGCACATGCTAGGTAAAATTTCTGTAAATTTTCAGAAAGTTTGGAGCATTTTGAAGTTTTTGCCATTTTTGCTTGGTTACGGTGTCCATTTCCAAAATTCCAAAGACAGATGCAACATTGGCACATGCCATGCTACATATCCATAAAGTTTTATTGGATTTGATCTATTTATGAAAATGCAGCTTACATGTATTTTCCCATAGGGTCAATATTAAACTTTACCCTGTTTCCATGACAATGGCAGTCATTTTGGAACTTCTAAATACTATCTGCCTATCTAGGCATACCAGGTAACATTTCCATAAAGTTTCATTAGATTGGGTCTTAGAATAAAGGATTTTGAATTTTGATTTTTTTTTTTTACATTTTTTTAGTTTCCATGGTAACCGTGGCCATCTTGCACATTCTGAAGTCAGGTGCACAACTTCACATGGTGATCAACATTATAGCATAGTTCCATCAACATTGGTCAATTCAATTCCGAGAACTAGCGCGGACATAATGTGTGGAAGAAGATTAAAAATAAGGAAAAAAAGAAACGTAGAATAACAATATGTCACCCCAACTCCGTTGAGGGTGCCATAAGAAAAGAAAGAAATGTAGAATAACAATATGTCACCCCAACTCCGTTGAGGGTGCCATAATAAGGAAAAAAAGAAACGTATAATAACAATACGTCACTCCAACTCCGTTGAAGGTGCCATAATCACTTGGTTTGGATTTCTCGGTCCATTTATCAAACCCAGGTAAATTTAAATGGGTATTATATAAATATATAAATTTAAAGATTTTGGTCGACGGCCAGAGGAATACAAGAAGACTACTATAATGAGGTAACAAAATTATTTTCATAACTAGTATATTTTTTTTTTTTTTTATTTTTTAACATTTATTAGATAGAAATAGCTATTAATTATAACAGAGACATTATAATAATTCAAATACTAGGCATTTTCGAGACATTTGAAAATAGCAAGTGAATTGAACGATTAGCAGTTTAAGTACAATGTACAATCGCCCTAGTGGTCCAGAATTGTTATCTTCTTATACAACTGGACGAGAGTGAAATGTTGGGTCTTTGTAACATATTAATCTGTTTAAGTGGAAAATCATTTTAAAAAACATACTCTGATTTTAACAAATTTCAGTTTTCAAACGGTTTTATGAATATTTAACACCCAGTCTTTGATAGAACCACGCAAAAGGCTTATAAGTGGGTCCACATGACATATCAACCAAATGTATGTAATTTTGCACATATGTTATGATAGTCAGGAGAAAAAAAATTTTAACTTTAAAATTTGATGTTAGGCTAGTTTTAGATTTTGCAGCGCCATCTATTGGCAAGGGCTTAATTTCCCAAAATTTCCACAAAAATGTCACAAGTTTGTTTCTCTTAATATGCTAGATATGGTTATGTTTAGCTGATATTTGAATTAATTTTTATAACATGCATCATTCGTCCTTTGAAACATGACAAAATGTTTTTGCTTGACTATAGCTATATTTTGGGACTGACCGGTCTAAAAAGGGCATTTTGGACATTTTTTGGATACTTCTTAAAAAGATCAACAAAAAGGTATGAAATCTTTTAAAGTACTATGGTTTTTTTAATGTTTTAAATATTTCTGTAAAGGTTTACATGTGTGCTACAAGTTTTATGATTTTTGAGCTGGGGTCTCCTACATCCTTACCATGGCAACGGAATAAAAATGTGTAATTTTCGCGTATTTTTCACAATAATCCGTGTATTTAATCATGAAAACTTATTTGTCTTTTGACACTGGCTTATGATATTTGGCATGTAGGTGTATTACAATAAGACAGTGTATCTCATAAAAATTCAAACCGTCAAATGACCTTGACCTTTGACCCAAGGTCAAAATACTTGATATTTTTACATTTTCTTATCTGGAGCACACCTTTCCCTCTCCCTTGACAAAATCTTTAAATACTTGACACTCAAGTGTAGCACCTCAATATAATGTGTCGCGTACCATGAATAATAACCTTGATCTTTGACCTTCAAGGTCAAATATTTAATTCTATATGTCACCCTAAAACCAAACATATTCTTTCTTGCCATGTTAATATGAAAATGAAGAGATGTGGACTGATTGCTTATGAGACAACTATCCACCACAGTTAAAATGAAGTGGTAGTAAGCAATTTATAGGCCACAGAACGTGCAAGACCTTTGCATTGCAGCTAAGGGGGTGTCCCTGGGGGTCATGCCCCGCCCCTCATATAATAATTTTGTTATTTAGATTTATCTAAAGAAAAGGGTTCAGAATCCCATCCTTAACTCATATTTAATCTTAATTGCCTTTCTAGTTCATCATGGGGGACATACCCTGCCCCCTACTTACCACTGATGGTAAAATAGCTTAAAATATGTTCATATCCCTACCTCTACATCATATATTTATATATTCTCAATCAGCATGACAACACCTTTGAGTACACTATATATGTTTTTGTGGGTTCGTGCCCCTTATATACACTGTTCAGATACCCAACCCTAAACCATATACAATAAATATATCATGTCTAGACCAACTAAGTGTAACATATATTTGATCCCTCATGCGCTATCCCCTCGTTTCATAAATTGGTAAATATATTGAAAACAGTGCATATTTCAACGCATTAACCATATATTCTTACTTGCAATGACAATCTTTTTTTTTACCAGAGTGACTTCTAAAGGGGAGACATTAGTTTTAATTCACTAAAACGGTTCTATCCAGTTGTAATTAAATTCAAAGACAATTTGGTAGAATTCTGACTTTATGCAGAAAAATTTTGTGTGTAATAATATTATTGCGTATTCACGGTGACTGTCAAAAATGTGAGAATAATTAAAGCAAATTTAAATTATATTGAATATTGTACAAAAAATGTAAATGCAACTAAGTTCATGTCACAGTCTGGGCCATATAGGGCTAACTACATGGTGTGGGGTTTCCAAGTTTGTTGCAGATCGTGTGTACATTTTTGGTTAGTTAACTTCTGAGATGAAATGTTGTCTCCTTGACATTTACCCCATATCTGTTCTTGATGTCCCCCTCAGCATAACATTGCGGCCGGGAATATATAAATGCTATTCATTCGTCTGTCCGTCCGAGTAATGGTCTGGATTGTAAACTTTCTAGCACAATAAATCATTATCTAATTTGGGTAAAATTTATGCAGTAGGTTTCTACAGACAACCGGTCAAGTTTGAAAATGAGCCCTGTTCGAATATTTAGTAGGCGCCGCGGGTGACATTGAAAATCTGTTATGTTATTCATATTGCAATGTTTTTTGAATTTACAGAAATATATTTGGAAGGTCTCGATCAGAAAGTTTCGACATACATTGTTCATGAAAAAGTCAGCTTGTTAGATTTCCAAAATAAACTAAGAAAATCATGAAGATTGATAAAATTGTAAAATTTCCCAAAATTGAAAAAGAACTTATTATAATACCACATCTTCTTATTTTTATACTGTATGCTTTTTTGAGCAAGGAAAAACAACTTGAAAAAGACCTCGTTATGAAGGCATTTGCGATCGCCTTAAAAAACAACTCCATATAAAATGTTTCCATCAAAAGAATGGTTATCATCAGATTAAATAAGAAGCTTATTTTGAAACTTTACCTTAAAGAAAACAAAGGAATTGGTAGACAATTCTAATAAAGTGGAAACAATTGATTAAGCAGATGTAGTACATGATTCAGACTTCAATGAAGGTCTACTGTCAGTTATTGAATATATTGAACTCAAGATCAGTTAAGGACATTATAACGAGAAATTTTTGCCTCTTCTTCTGTCTAATATATATAGATATAAGAAGATGTGGTATGAGTGCCAATGAGACAACCCTCCATCCAAGTCAAAATTTATAAAAGTTAACCATAATAGGTCAAAGTACGGTCTTCAACACGGAGCCTTGGCTCACACCGAACAGCAAGATATAAAGGGCCCCAAAAATTACTAGTGTAAAACCATTCAAACGGGAAAACCAACGGTCTAATCTATATAAAAAACGAGTTTCGAGAAACACTTATGAACCACATTAACAAACGACAACTACTGAACATCAGATTCCTTACTTAGGACAGGTGCAAACAATTGCAGCGGGTTTAAACGTTTTAATGGTACCAAACCTTCACCCTTATCTGAAACATTAGTGTAACATCACAACATAGAAAAACACACTATAAAATATCAATTGAAATGGCTCAACTCAATCAAAAGACATATTAACACCGGTGAACATATACTGAAAAACATAAATTTGATCTATGATACAATGCAAATACAAAATAAATAAACTATATGTTTATATAACAGAAATATTTGTGAATGTATTATGACATGCATCTGTTACATCACAATTTGGTAGTAAAATGATTTTCTTGAGTGTTTGGTCCTTGGATCCAGCACGAACTGTACATTCAAGTCTGGCAGTTGAATTCTTAGTTTGTCTATATTTTGACAGTCTAAGAATCATGTCAGAGATTTGTTAAGCATGTAATCTCAGTGGAATGGTATATTCTAAACAAACACCTATTTTGAAAATAAATTCTACATCCAACAGATCGATATCGGTGTCAACATTCAATTTTAATACAACTTCTATCTTCAGAGTTGCTTTTTTTCTTAGATCTACAAAAATACACAAAAAAAACGAACTGGATGTTTTTATATCAATATTAATGCAAGTAAATAATTTTAACCCGTTTTCAATATTAAAGATCTTGAAACTTTTATTATTAATATAAATTTGATACAGAATTTAATACGATTAAACAATTATGTAAGTAGTCATAAAAATTGCTCTGCCTAATGAGTTTAATAAATCATATTGCACAGGAAGAGAAGCTTTAAATACTTTCTTTCATTAAAAATGAAATTACGACGTCGGCTGAGAGGGCATGGTATATGTTGTCCGTTACATTTATTAACAACATCTTGTACAAATATTCTTTTCGAAAATAAAAACAGTTAAATAGAACAAACAAAACTATCCGTCACAATGATATATGAGGGTCTGGATTAGGGGGAAAAGGTGGAGAGGGGGAGGCGGTGGTTACATTTCTGTATTCTGTAATTTTTTTTGGCCATTTTTCTCTCTTCAGTAAGAAATATGCTTATTCTGTAAATTCTTGTGTTCAGAAAATATATGAACATTTCCTGTTGTATCATGATTTTGACATAATAGATCTTTTTGTCTGTATCAACGACATATGTATGACGACACTACCTCGTGACCCCTCACCCCTGAATCTGTCACTGTACTGCATAAATGATACCATTTATCAATTTTGATTAATATCTGATTAAAACAAAAAACGGGTAAAAACTATTCTAATTTCTTTGTAATAATTTGGATATCTGGGATAATAACAGTAGATAAGATGACATTAGATATATTTGATCATGCATGTATTAGGTTTGTAATATGAGGCACTAGTACTGCAATCTAATCAAAGTACCGGTAGTAAATCGTAAAAAGTAGATTTAAGAGAAATCTGAAATCTGATAGAATAAAAATTCGATCACCTGAACTAGATATTATCCTTGATAGCCCAACTGTCCCACAGAATATAAAAATATTGCCTATCAATCAATTGTTTTGGAGATTATTAAAATATATTTAACATTTATTGGTAGCGAAAAAAAAAAATGTCATACCCCCCAAAAAAATCAAAGACAATGCTATCCGTCCTCGAGTATCAGTCTTCCAGCCCTTACCAATAAATTGTTGTTTTAAATTGTAATGGATCATGGATCTTCCAAATATGAAACTGAAGACGTAGGAATCATGCCGGCTAAAGAAACGTT